GCCGGGGGGGGGGGCCCCGGGTTGGGGGCGGGGCGGGGGGGGGGGGAGGGGGAGGCGGGGGGCCCCCCGCTGCCCCGCCGACCCCGCCGGCCCCCAGGAGCGGGAGCGGAAGAAAGCGCTGCGGGTGCACGAGAAGATGACCTACGCGTCCGAGGTGGCGGCCAAGCACACGAGCCTGCGGCGCCAGCTGCAGCTGGAGGACGAGATGGAGGACCTGGCGGCGTGCGCCGAGGCCGAGCAGCTGCGCACCTGCCACGCGCGCGCCGCCTGGAAGCTCTGCATGACCAGAGGTGCCGTCCGCGCCCGCGCCCCGAGGGGCTCCCGCGACGGGGCGGGGCGGGGCTGTGTCTGTGTGCGACCCCTGCCGCCCGGCGTCCCAAGCCCAGTGCCCGTGGATGGCAAATCCAAAGGCCTTTGAACGCCCCGCGCGCCGAGAGACTGCAGCGCGCCGTGCCTGCGGTCCTGGGCAAGCTCCTCCACCCCTGCGCAGGGCGGGTCCTCTCGGGCCGAGGACAGTTCCCGCATCGGGGGCTGTGGGAGTCACCGCTCTGCGCGCGGGAGGAAAAGCCGTGTGACTCAGTGCGCGCCGGTAGCAAATCTGAAGTCCCGGCCACACGCTCACCTCCCGCCCGCCCCGACGGGGACGCCTAAGATCACTGAGCTGGGGAGCGGCCGTCGGGGCCGAGCGTCCTGGGCCCGACGGGACTGCGGGCTCCCTGGTGTGAACAGAAGGTGCAGGCCCCAGCCTCCCCCCGCCGCCCGGCCCGCCTTCGGAGAGGAGCCGGGAGCTCCTAGGGCCCGAGGGGAGCAGCGGGCACCGTCGGCGCGTCTGCCTCCACCCTCCCCTCCTGAGCCCTGGGAGAGGCGGGTGGCGCCGGGAGGCGGGAGGCTGGACCTAGCGGGTCTGGGCGCAAAAGTCGTCGGTGTCCCAGCTTTAACTTCCAGTGAGGAGCCACGTCTCCTGAGGGCAGAGCTGGCCCCCCGAGGCCAGCCAGGCGGCCGAGCCGGGCTCCCTGCCGAGTGTCCGCACTCAAAACGGGCCTCCTGCACCGCGCCGCGTCCCCGGGAAGGACGGGGCTGGAGGGACGGGGCCGTGCGGCTCCACGGGCCTGTCCGCAGCTGCGGGCTCTCCAGAGCTGGGAGCAGCCAGACCTGCCTCTCCAGAAAGGGCGGGGAAGAGGCCCCGCGGCCCTTGGACCCCGCCGCTGCCTCTCCGCCCGGCTCCGGTGGGTGGTCCGGATGCCCACTCTCCTTTCCTCCCGCCTGGCTTGAACCGGGACCGTGCAGACTCAGCCGGGGCTTAGGGCGCCGCACGCAGAGATCAGGCTGCCCCACTTCTCTCTCCGCCCCTCATTCCGGTCCTGGCCAACTGGCCTTTCGTGGTCAAGCCCAGTTGGGTGAAACTTCCGGGGTGAGGGGTGTCCAGAGTCTCATTCCAGGTGAGAAGCGTGTTGAGAGAGGCAAGAGAGGCTCAAGTCAGACATGGAAGGACTTCCCACCTGGTCCCGTCTCCAGCCATGGAGAAGTAACAGAGCAGCAGAGCCTTCTCTGCTTCTGGGGGGACAAAGCGCTCCATCTCCCAGGTCCCTGGAAGGACCCGGGCCTCGCAGCAGAGCACTGCACAGGAGCGGCTGGCTGGCCCCGACCGACCGTGTGCCCAGCCTTCCCGGGGACCCAGGTCTGTCCTGCTGTCGGCGGCCCCCAAGATGCCTCCCTCCTCTCATTGCAGAGAAGACGCTGGGGTCTGAGAGCATCAGCAGCTACATGGGCCAGAGGCGGCAGTCATTCCTCATCCAGGTAGGGCGGGCAGCGCCCGCGGGGCGCAGGCGGGCTGGCCCGGCGAGGAGCGTGACCCGCGCCCGTGGCCCTCAGTACGCCCTAGATATGAAGCGGAGGGAGATCCAGCGGCTGGAGGTGCTGGCCACCAAGGAGGAGGCGGCGCTGGAGCGCGCCGAGAGGTCCCTGGAGAACGACGCGGCGCTGTTCGACGAGTTCCTCCGGGAGAACGACCGCAGCTCCGTGCAGGCCCTGAGAGCGTGAGCCCGCGGCCGGGCCAGCTGGCGGGCCGCCTCGCGTCCCCCGGGCCTGTGCAGCCCACCCACCCCTGCCTGGACCCAGCCGGCCGCGCCCCGCCCCCTGCCCCGGGCCCCTGGCAGCTCCCCCACCGCCAGCCCGGCCTGAGGGCGGTGTAGATGCCCCTGTTAGTGTGCGATTGGCTCCCTGCACCCACCCCACCCCCCAGGGCTGAGAAGGAAACCAAAGCAAAGGTGGAGAAAATCATCGAGATCCGAGACCTGACCACCCAGATCATGAATATCAAAAGGTGAGGTCAGGGGCAGGCCCTCTGGCCTAGTGGTTAAGTCCAGTGCACTCTGCGGTGGAGATGCCAGCTTGGCGGGTTCAGACCCTGGTGGAGACCTGCACCACTCATTGATGGCCATATTGTGGTGGGGACCAACATATAAAATAGAGAAAGATTGGCACAGATGTTAGCTCAGGGCCAATCTTCCTCAGCAAAAAAAAAAAAAAGAAAGAAAGAAAGAAAGAAAGAAAGAAAAGAAAAAAGTGAGGTCAGAGGGCAACCTGGACCCTAGGCTGTCCCGCCACTTCTCTCCATCACTTTTCCCGTAACCAAAGGGAGCCCGGCACAACACAAACCTTATCACTTTCCCTCTAAAACCTAAGCCCTGTGGGATACTGCTGCCCAGTTTACAGATGAGGTGACCAAGGCCAGGAGAGTCAGTGACTATCCCAGGGCCACAGCACCAGGAGGCAGGCTCCACCCTGAGAGGGGCAGACAGTCCTGGTCGACTTGCAGCTCAAAAGTCACAGAGGGCTGTCACTCTGGGAACTCTAACCCTCGTCAGTCCTCTGTGGGGCGGCCTTCTTCCCCCAGCACAACTGTTGTCCTCGGCCTGTCCCCCAGAGAACAAGGAGCACCTTGAGCTTGGCCGGGGTGCAGAGGCCGTCCCCTCTGGAGGGACCTCCTGTTACTGAGACCAAAGTGGGTTCCCTCGGGGCGAGTTAAATCAGACTCTCCACCAGAAGTAGTTGTCTTACAAAGTAAAGTGTATTTGCGGCAAATAGGAGACCCTGAGGGATCATTTCAGGAGTCACGTGTCCCCGAACAAAGGGAAGGAGGGACGTTTATTTGGGACGGGGAATGAATATTCTAAAGTGGAGACGTGGGAATCCTCTTGCACAAGCTCAGCTGGAAAACGTGATTCCACGTACACTGCAGGTGATGGCAATCAGGCCCACGCTCCTCCTGGAGAGCTGTAGCCTAAAAATAAGGCAAAGGTCACAGGCGTGGCTCTCGTGGCGAGGCCTGGTCCAGTTCAGGGAGGTTGGTGATGGCATCTCCTGAACATAACAAAAGGAAAACCAATAATTTGGGAAAATAGTTAAATGCTTCCACACCTACCCTTGAGTTCCTCGGGATAACTAGTTGGTGACACTCCCAGCAGGCAGAGCCTGACCTACCTTCTCCCTCCTCAAATCTAGTGAAATCTCCAAATTCGAAGACACACTGCAGCATTACAAGGCCTACAAGGATTTCCTGTACAAGCTGTCGCCCAAGGACTGGCTGGAAGAGCAGAAGTGCTTGGCTCTCAAAAAGGCCAAGGAGAGGGCCGAGGCCTCCAAAGACAGCACTCTGTCCTCCACACTAGGGGACAAAGGTAGCAGAAAGGAGAAGGCAGTTCCCCGGGTCCCCCTCGACCCTGTGCCCAGCTGGCAGGGGCCTCAGAGGTATCCAGGCCACAGGCTAGGCCCCTCCCATACCTGGCAGAGCCCCTGCCAAGGGCAGCAGCTGCCCCCAAGTCACTGTGGCTCAGCTAAAGCGTTCCCTCCGGGAAGAGGGGGTGGCCCAGCTCAAGCCCAAGCGGCTTTCGTCCCAGCGCCGCCCTCCTACAGCTGAGGTGGAGACAGTTGGGAGGGTCCCAGGGAAGCCTGTGCCCCCAAGCAGTGTCCCTGGAGCCTTGGCTCCAGCCAAGGCCATCTGGGACCCCTCCCTTACTTCCTGTAGGTCCAGGGATCAAGGGCAAGACCAGCCCCAGAGGTACGTGGCTGTCCCAGACTGGAGGCTCCCGACGCCCCCCACAGGCCGTGGCATGTAGAAACCATTCCTCTGCTTCCTCCAGACGGGCAGGGCCCAAAGAAGCCCTGGAAGATTCTGCAGGTTATGCGGCTGGGGCAGATGCTGTCCAGCAACGCCAGCCTCCAGTCAGGCAGCCAGTCCAGCGGGACTAGTGGGCTGGAACCCAAAGGGTGAGTAGGTGGGGGGGGTGGGGGTGGGCGCAGAGGTGGGGGCCCTGGTCAGGAGTGCTCCCCAGTGGTGCCAGGGCAAGGATGCCCAGGATGGGCCCAGGCCCTCAGGGGAGAGTGTGAGGAGGGGCTGCTCCGACCTGGTGGGTCCACTGGCTGACTTAAGCCCTAAAATCAAGACGTTTCCTAAACAAAGGTTTATTTCTGCCTGATTCAGTAAATTTAAGCCTGGGGCGGTCCACTTGGGTGCTAGTGGGACAGTAAATGTGAACGGATGAGGGCAGGTGGCACAGGGAACTGGGCGGCACACACCCACCATCCGAGGAAGTGCTGGCCCAAGTGACGCGGGCTCAGCGAGCCGAGAGTCGAAAGAAAGATTTCCCGGACTCTCAAGGTCTGGTAGTAGTCCTCTTTTATTCGGAGAATAGCATGGGGACAGGACGCGTGCGCAGTGAAGGGCTGCACCATGCTGAGGGTTAGGGCTAAATTTATAAGGCATGGTGAGTTATTTTTTATCAAAGGAAAGATGATGTAAGAAGTCATTAAAATGGTATCAGTGCAGGTAGGGTCTGGTTACTGTGTGGTCCTATAACTTTGATATGCATCTGGTCATATAGATCGGCATGCAGGCCAGGACGCCTCGGGCTTCTCTCCGTGGGGCAGCCTTGATCCACATCCTATAGTCCCCCCTTTGGCCCCAAAATCCTTTGGGGATATGGACGATGGTCAATCTCCTGTAACTACTTCCGGCTGTACAAGGTCACAGAGGTGTCCCTAAATGGGGCCATGGGGGTACAGGCAGGAAGTTCAGTGAACCAGACGGTTGCACTTGCAGAGTCCAAGGCTGACAAGGTCTACAGATCATCGGGAAATGAGAGAATCACTTGACGAGAAGTGATCCAGGAGGTAAAACTTAGTTGACATGTGGAAGACAAACAATGAAGTAGACAACAAATTATAGTAAGAAATACAAGCAATATAATTAACCCAATGAATAAAACTTTGATAGTAGTCCAGAGACCAAGACCTGACCAGGAGTTCAATCAATCATTTAGAGATAGGGTAGGGTCAGACGAGGATTTAATTTGGTGGCTCATATCAGATAGGAAGCCAGAGATATTTTGATGGTAGGCAGGAATATAGACACAACATTCAGTTTTTATAATGGCACAAGTGCCCCCTGTGCTGCTGTCAAGACATCCAGTGCCAATCAGTTTTGGGGGACCACCTTACGCATTTGGGATACTTCTAAATCAAGCAGTGAAAGGCTATGTTGCATATTATTTAATGCCTTCATGGTAAATTTGTTTAGGGCTTCCATGTGCCAGATGACACTTTTGATTTCTAGTTGGGGAAGGAAAATTGAGGCAAGGTGGTCATGCCGGTGGGAGACAGAGCAGGTCCAGTGCTGTTGCAGGTTGGGTAGGTTAGCAGGAGGAGATACAGTAAATGTAGTTCTACCTTGCATCCAGACAAAGCCTAGGGTGCATCGTCCAATCCATCCAGGTGACAGCCAAGGCCATAAGTTGGAGCCACATAACCATTGAGTGCCAGTAGGAGTAACCAACATATGCTGGGCCATCTATTCCAGTCAGTCCCAAACCAATCACTATTTTTTAAGGCTATGATATGAGAGCACATATGACAGGGAATTTGTCCCATAAGTCGGATGCTATCAGGCCACGTATCACAGGTGTGATTGGTTTGTTCCCAACATAGAGTGGCCTTTTGACTGAGTTGACCACTAGTAGGAGTGAGCCAAATGTATTCATCCCAAATTTGCTATAGTCCATCCTGTGTATTGATAGGTTGGGGACTTAACCTTAGGAACTCGTTGTTTATGATCCACCTGTGACACGGCAAATCTAGTTAGTATTTGGGCAGTAGAGTTGAAGGAAAAGGTTTGATTGTGGCCAGGGAGCTCCCAGGTGTCAGAGACGGATGGCCACAAGGAGACATTATGATTAGTAACAGATGAATCTTGCAGAAGAGAAGAGCTAGAATCTAATACCCATGAATGTGTACTATAGCTCCTACTGAAACATAATTTTTCTCTCTAAAATCACCCTCACTTTTTTACAAAATATAGCCAAGTTAAGATTAACTGGTTTGCAAAATAAGTGTAGTTTCAATAAATCTTGGTCCAACTATTTACATAAGAGTAGCAAGAATAACAATTAATCATATAGGCTCTTTTAAATCTGCTTTGCTGGAATTTTTTATGAGGAATCTCAGATTGAACTTTAAAGGCCCCTTGAGGCCAGGAAAGCCAAGCCGAGGACTTGTCATCAAGATTTTGCTTGCAATACCTACAGATTTGGGTGGATTCCTCTGTTCTCAAGGTCCCCCAAAACATTTTGAGGTTCCAGGCACCTGCCAGATAAGTGACCTTCCTTACTTACCAGGTAAGATTGCTGGAATTCCTGTAAACAAGGTACCAGGCCAGTATTTCCAGGTGGCTTTATTCCAGAAAGTCAACCTTATTCCTCATGGGCTGTATTGTCATATCTGAGTCTGTATGTTTCTCTCAAATATGACACTCCAGTCAAAGCCTTGGTTATATAACCAATGTTTCCAAATATATCCTGTTATAAGGAGAACAGATTCTTATTGAACTTATGCAAATAACTATATTGCCATGAAAATAACCATACTCACTCACTAATTTTCCAAATTCTGGAGAGATGAGGCAGGAAGAAAAAGATAAATGTTTCAGTTCTGCTCACAAAGGTGTAATTTCACCAAGTTGCTATAAGTCATAGTTAAGAGAAAACAGAAAAAGATTTCCTTAAATCTGAGAAAACAAAATGAAACATCAAAAAATCAACAATATTTCAAACAAAAGTCATATAAATTACAATCATCCTCATCAGTTCATACAGCCCTGTGTAATTGATTCTTGAGCTTAATCTTCTGTTAGCAGTTTTATGAAGTCATCAGTTTCTCTGTTAGAGTTCTGTAATTTCTTACCCAGTTCAGTTTTACGATCTGAAAGTTTATCAGAAACCTGTATTCTAGAATCCTGTGTCAGAATCCTTTCCATGAATTTCTCTGAAAATGAAACATATTTGCAAAAGCAAAAAGCATCAGAGTAAAATAGCAACTATCTGCAAGTGACAAAAGACTCAAAAGGGCAATTGACAAAGAAACTTGGCTACTTCTGTGACACACAACACTTCAAGATAATAACTAGAATTATGGGTGATGACCAGGACAGATCAGAATTTTAGGAATATTACATAATTTCAAAACGTTTGTATCAATAGCATTTATCCACATAATACCACCTAAGAAGGCTTATCATCACTTGTTTGACAATGTTTCCCATGTAATTTAACATACCAAATAAGCCTAATAAGTTTAGTATCTTCTTCTTTATAGGAAGAGAAAGAGAGAATAAATTTATTTGAGAAGTCTCAAGGGCCCTCTGAAAGTCCTCAGAGAAATTCTCTTCCTTCTTCCAGGTCAAAAGAAAGCCTTTATTCAGGCCTTGAATTTTTTTTGTGGGGAGGCTTTCCAAAAATATCAAAAGGTTTTAAAACACTTGTTCAGATAGGAAACAATGCTCACTGCAAAACATGCTCAGTTATCTATTCAAAATGACAACAAAAACAGTCAAAAAATCTTGAGAGACCTACTTCAGTCCTTCTGAACATAGGAAATTATCTTAACAAAACATAGATCTCTATCTTTTAGGTAGACTTACTCAAACTTAAATAAGCTTTCAGTTACCAAAGATTAATTTATATCATGTTAACTTGAAGGACATTTGGGTTAATTTCTATTACGTTTAGAATTTATGTAAGTGCTTACTTTAAGCCAATTAAACAAAGCTCTTAATTTTGGCTATACCATCCGGAGGTAAAATATCGTACATATATAACATACGTATAGGCACACTTACAAAGTCTCCACAGCTATTGTTTTAAAAATTACTGCCATGACTCAGGTACAGTAATACAAAGTTCACCAGTTATGAACCCAAATTTTGTTTTGAGCCTTTTTACTAATATTTGTGGAGAAGACACTTAAGATGCTAGATTTTTTTGGCAAGGGCACGCTTATGGCTGTTTTTTCCTTTTTCCTTTTTCTTTCCTCAGTCTTAGGAATTAGTGGTGGGGCTAGATAAAAGTTTCTGGAGAGGCTACATGATAATCCTTTTTGAGATAAGGGAACTGGGTAGAACCTGAACCGCCTCTAGAGCTGCATTTCCAGTCTTACAAGGATTTTCTAAGGACACTTGTTCTTGGTTTCTCAGAAATTGGGCTGTGACTCCAGTGACGTTATGGGTTGACCTACCTGTCCAGCTATATCATAAAGGCACAGAGAAACCACTCAGGTTTTCTCTCAGATGGAGTTTCTGAGGCATAACCCATCCAGCTGAAAGTGTTTCTTTCCAATTAGTCAGAATGCACCCGAGGGGTGAGTCTCTGGGGATGCTTGGGGCACTCCCCATGGCGGCAAAGCACCATCAGTGTCTGACTGACAGCAGGCTGGAGAAGGGTGCAGAGCCCGACTGTGAGTGCCAACATAGTTACAAGATGTATTCAAGTCCCACTCAGCCGGGGCGTTTAGTCCCTGAGCCAGCACAAGCTGAGCTAAGGAGGAAGGAGGCAAAGGCCTGGAGCTGGCTGGGGGCTGGGGCTCTCAGTGCCAGGGTTAAGTCCCTGGAAAAAGGGTATCAAGTTGTCAATTTTACAGAAGGTCCAGGTTCTGCTCAGGTCCAGCCTGAACTTAAGCTCAACTTGGTGACAACAGAGGAGGTGACGAATGAGACAGACAAAGAAAGGAAAAGAGGGGATCAGGCCTCACCCTCATGGCCTCTTCCCAACGATTATCAAGATAAGGGTCTGTTGCCCGCAGCCACAAAGGGCAAGGAATGACAGGCACCTCCAAGGCTACTTGGTTCTTTAAGCAATCAGAGTTTATTGATAAAGGGAAACAGAACGAGGAGCAGGGATAAAGGGGAACAACAAATCAGTGCTTACAACATCCACACCACAATCAGCTGGGGAAGTCCCGATAGTTTGTACGGCGGGCAGGATGCCGGTTGTCTGGGTCTGAGGTAAAGCATCCTCTGCTCAGTGAGACTCCCAATTGTTCTGTGCCTGGGACTCCCTTTTATCCTAAGGTTTCTCTGGGTTCTGACTCAGGGTTTCAGACATTTGGATACTTTGAGTCATTTCTTCTTGTTCCCATGGATGGGGTGCTTCTATCTTTTTTGTTCCCATGGATGGGATGTTTCTAAAATCCAGCCAGGTGCCCATCGGGGTGGCCAGCCCAGACAAGGAACATGACGCAGGACATAGTCTTTGTAACTTGTGCCTTAGAGTCAGGGCCGAAGTGGCATCTTTGGCCCCGAGCCCAGACACATTCCTTCAAGTAGGGCCCAGGCGCAGTGTCCTTGGAAGGCGGGGAGGTCAATGACTACAGGGTCACACAGCAGTTCCTGTGCTGGGGCACACAACCCCAGCAGGCCAGTTCACAGAATAAATCACAGGCCTCCTATCCTCATAACTGACTCAGTAGGCACCTAAAATACTCAACAGGTTAACCGCCAAGAGAGGGCACCCCACTTAGGTTCCCGGGGGTGATCAGGCCCGGAAACCAGGGTGGGGCTCCCAGTGGTGGAGCCTTTGACTCTTGAAAGATTTCTTCGTTTCTTCGTTGCAAAGCTCAAAAGGAGTCCAAAATGGCGACTAACTTTAAATTATCCCAGGTTATCTTGCCAGCTACTTACAGTTATCTCCATTTTTAGGGGGCCTTTCCCAGGTAGCCACAACAAGGTAATTTCTAAAGATAGTTTGTTAGAATCACTGAGAAACTCAGTCCCCAAACAGCCAATTTTAAGTTATATACCGACACAGACACAGACACACAGAAAAACCAGACACCAGTGAACTAGTTCTCAGGTTCAGGGTAGAAAGTCCTACAACTGTTCCCACCCTGAGTGCACGCCCAGACAGTCCCATTGGACCCCAGATGACCCTGCTGTAAGCGGAAGGACCCCAGATAAAGGGGAAGCTAGACACATGCGACAAACCACTCTGAGGCCAGGATCTTGATTCAGGGCCATGGATGCTTGAATATGAGGAATTCAGACCATTTTCCCAGGAGGCGGCGAAAGAAGTCCAGCTGAAAAATACTATTAGAATTTAGGGTGCCATTCATGGGCCATTCATTGTTCCTCATTCAGAGTGTATTCAGGCCAAACAGTATTACAGTAAAAAAGTCTTTTTTTTCTTTAGATCTTGTAGATCAAATTTTGCCGAGTTATTTAAAAGGCAACCGAAAGGTGAGTCCTTAGGAGTGGAATTAGAAGTTCCCGTGGTCCCAGGATGCAAAAAGACAAAAGAAGAGAGATGAAAGAAAAGGGTCCATTACCTTGAAAATCCCTCCAGAACCTAGGGCAGCGTCCTACCTATTGTTCCTTCTGTAGGATTCCTATTGCAAGGGGTGATGGGGGCGTCCCCCTGCACTGCATCCCTGTATACCTTCCATATTCTGCCTGGCAGTAATAGGTGCCTGGTGAATGGTCCCAGAGGTAAAAGAAGAATAGAGAAAAACTGAAGAATTTTCCACCGGTCTAGGGGATATTCTACCCAGTTGTGTCCTGGAGCCGTTCTCCCACGAGGAGGTTCCCATACTCAACCAAACGTTAGAGTTCGGTACTTTCCTTGAACCAGAGTCCTGATTGGGACTTTCCCACGGTTCAGAGTGTGGTCAGGAGCCATAGGGAGGGATTCCAATCCAGCCTGAGGAAAAGAAATCTTCCACAGGAGTCTTGGAGATTGGCGACCATCCTAATGACTTAAGTGGCCGGCCCATGCCCACGTAAAATTTATACATTAGAGATAGAGTCAGGAAGGAATGGATTAATTCATTCTCCATCACCCTCAGGCTTAAGGTACTGGTTCTCTTGGGGCTGAATGCCACGGTTTGCCCCATAGAGTAGCCATGGGCAGCAAATGTGGATTCATACTGCTGTCCAAAAAGGTTCCTGATGGAGACGTGAATTTACATCCATCCTTGAAAAAGAGGATGGCACAAAGAAGAAAAGGGCACTTACCAGAACTTCAGCTCACAAGGCAGTGAAGCAAGATCCCTGTACGGGCCACCAGAAGAAATGATGTGGGCTCGGCAGGCTGAGGAGTTGAAAGAAAGATATCTCGAATTCTCAAGATCTGGTATTAGTGCTCCTTTATTTAGAGAATAGCATGGGGACAGGGCCCATGGGCAGTGAAGAGCTGCAGCACGGGGACAGGGCCCGTGGGCAGTGACAAGCTGCCATGTGTTGAGGGTTAGGGCTAAGTTTATAAGGCCTAGATATGTGAGTTATTTTTACTAGAAAAGGAAAGATCATGTAACAAGTCGTTAAAATGGTCAGTGCAGGCAGCGTCTGGTTACTGTGTGGTCGTGTAACTTTAGACACGAATCAGGTCATAGGTCCTGCAGGCCACGATGCCTTGGGCTTCTCTCCCGGGGGCAGCCTTGATCCACAGCACAGGGACCAGAGCCCCAGAGCCTTCAAAAGAAGCAGGAAGTCCGGGTTTCATATAAAATTACCCAGATTCAAGTGTGACAGTTACTTTTAAATCTTTTTAAAAACATGATGAGGGACACATAGAAACCCCAAACAGACCTGTGCACCAGTGCGAAGCTGTCCCCTCCACCCCGCTTACAAATCCCTCGGCCTACCAGGCCAGAGCCGCCTCCGCTCCCCCAGTAACTGGGTCACCACCAGTTTCTCCTCCTCCACTGAAAATGGTTTTAATTTAATTTTTGGGTAGATAATGCATTCACAAAAATCACAACTCTATAGAAAGGTGCAAACTGAGAAGACTTGACCCACCCCCACCCCCCCAACCCCCCCCCCACCGCGCCCCCCACCCCGGCACTCCTTCCCGCCCCTCCCCACCCAGACTGCTGGCCTCAGGCTGTGGGGGCGCAGGGGAGGGGGGCCTGGTTATCTTCTGCAAACCCTTCCAGCCCTTTTTATGCAAATAAGAGGTTGGACCTTTGAAGTTGATGTTTTGTAGGTCAAAAGAGACCCGGTGTGTCCCTAGGATTTGAGCTCAGTAGGAGCAAAGGCGGTTTTCTGTGACCATCCTTTGACTGGGAGCTGAGCCCGCAATATAGCCGTGGTGCTGCCCTTCTCAGCCAGGGTTCCAGCTCCCCCGGGGCCCCTTGGTGCCTCCAGGTGGCAGCGATATTCACAGTATGTGAACATGGCGAAGGCTCTGACCGCAGGCCCAGATGGCCAGTGGGCACTGGCTGTCACAGTGCCAGGGCCGCTGCCAGAGCGCTGACTTGTTGCTGGAGTCTAGACTCCCTGGGAGCCTGGCAGAGAGAGAGACTGATTGGCTCCTGCGATTGCGGGGCTGCAAGTCCACAGTCTGGGGCAGCAGGCAGCTGGAGGGCCAGAGAAGAGCTGCCGCTGTGCGAGTCCGAAGGCAGTCCACTGGCAGAAGGCCCTTTTCTCCCGGCAGGTCAGTCTTTTCTGTTCAGGCCTTCAGCTGATCGGATGTGGTACACCCACGAGATAAAGGGTCACCTGCTTGACTCTGAGTCTACTGATGTAATTGTTAATGTCACCTAAAACCCCCTTCATGGAAACATCAAGAATGTCTGACCTACCCAAGCTATCACAGCAACTCCGCCGTCCCAGGGGTTCAGGGCTGGATCTGCTGGCCCTGTGGAATGGTCTCAGCGCCTGACACTCCACCATCGCCCGGAGGCTCCTGCGGAGGGCCAGGCTTTCTTCTGGGGGCAGGTTCCAGCTCCAGTGACTGCTGCCCCTGCCGACGGAAATAATCCATAACCAATCTATAAATGAAGATTTGGGAGAGTTTGTTCTGAGCTAAAATGTGAGAACCATGGCCCGGGGCCTTTCTTCCCGAAGGAAGAGAGGGCACCAAAGAAGTGGGGTGCACAGAGTGGTTACAGACCCCCGAACAGGATGTTTCACATATGATTGAAATGTCCCTCCCACAATAGTCGCGAGACTGCTCTGTCCACACAGCGATTGATGGAAACAGCAGGTAGGTCTGCTGTCTCAGTGACCACAGCAGGAAGCAAGTTTGTTGTCTCGAGCTGGGTGGTCACAGGTGAGCGCAGCAATCAGTTCCTAGCCTAAGGAAAGATGCTTAATCCTTAAGGAAATGCCAACGTTGGGAGGTGGAGGGAAGTTGCACCATTATCTTAAGGGCATTTGTTCTTGCCATAGGAAATGTTTAAAGCAGATATACAATGCGTGCTCAATGGCCACGGTCAGGCTCTTTTGGAAAAACAAGGTCAGGCCGAATTAGGTTTACACCAAATGGCTTCCTCATGTACTCCAATATCTCCTACTGCTTGCCATTTCTATTTGTCACCCTGTAGCTCCTCCAGCACCCACTGGACAGCCAAGGACCTCTCAAACATCTTCTGGATTTCTTCCCGCAGTGCCGCTGAGAACACCCTGTCTTCTCCAGCCGTGATGAGTGCCACAGGACAGACCTCCTCCTGCCCCCAGCCAGCCTCCACCCCGTCATCTCACTCCTCCAGCTCAGCCCGCCAAGCCCTAGCATGTAACAGGCAAGGAAACAGGCACAGCCAGGTGGAGTCGGAACCCTGGGCTCTGGCTCCAGAGTCCACCCTCGGGTCCGGGCCTGCAGAGGCCGCGAAGTTTTGGCAAAGCTGATCAGACTTAGGTCTTTTAGTTTTACTTGTTTACTTCTTTTCTTTTACTTTACTTTTGTTTTTACTTCTTTTACTTTTTCTCTTATGTTGAGAAGTTATCGACATATCACAAAATGAACACATCTGGAGTGAACACTTGCATTTTTACACACCTATATCCCCGTGTAAGCACACCCAGACCAGATGTAGAATGTTCCCAGTGCCCAGAACGGTCTCATGCCCGCTCCCAGGCAGCCCCACCCCAGGAGGGTGACCACGGTTTGGGCCCCTCTTTCTGGGCTCTTTCTGGGCTCTGAGACTTGAGGCCCTGAGAAGCACGGAGGGAGCCCTTGGCTCTGCCTTCACTCATGCCCACTACCCGGCCGCCCAGCCTCTTCCTACCGTTGCTCTTCGTCCCTACTGTGTGAAGAAGCCCCCATCTCTGTCCTTGCTCCTCTTGGGGCCATCGGGGTGGTTTCGCACCATGGCTGTTGTGCCTGAAGCTGTGGCACAGTCCTGTCCCCGTGTGTGAGCACTGTCCTGGGCCCGAGCGCTGTTGGTGTCAGAGCAGGGGTGGGATCGCGGGCACATGGGCGCGCGCACGTGTAGCTTCAGTAGCTGCTGATGAACGTTCCCCGCGGGGACTGCCCCGTGCTGTACTCCCGCCGCAGCCGGAGAGCTCCAGCTGCCCCACAGCCTCCGCACACCACGGCATCACAATCCCTTCATTTCAGGATGCCGGCAGGGTGGTTTGAAAACCGTGTGTTGGTAGAAAATTTGAGGCTCAGTGAGGCCCAGAGATCAGAAGACAACGCCCGGTGAAAAGGTGGTTTGTGACTCGCAGCCCCAGAGAAGGGGCCCGCCAGCTGGCCAGCCCGAGGGGGAGCACCCAGGTGGTCAGGAGGCTGAGGCGGGGGCTGTGGGCGGAGCCCCTGCTGTGGTTTCCGCGGGAAGGAGCAGTGAAGCAGCAAACAGGCCTAGGACTAGCTGGTCTGAGTGACTTCCGGGCTCCGCACGGAGTTATCTGGTGGCCTGAGGGTGAGCTTGGGTGTGGGTTCAGGATTGGTTGGTTTGTGTTTGAAAGGCATGTTCAAAGACTTGTCTGCCACTCTCTCTAGGAATCATCCAGCCCTGGGAGGGACATCTCTCCAGGGTCAGCACGGCCCCAGGCGTCAAAACATCAGACCCCCGGGCCGGCTCAGGGCGTACTGGTTAAGCTTGGCGTACTCCGCTTTGGTGGCCCTGGTTTGCCGGTTTAGTTCTGGGGTGCAGACCTACACCACTCATCAGCGGCCATGCTATGGCAGCAGCCCAAATAAAACAGGAAGACTGGCACAGGTGTTAGCTCAGGGCCAATCTTCCTCAGCCAAAAAACACATCAAAACCCAGACAAGGTTAATATGGGGGTGGAGTGGTGTCTCATTGTGGTTTTAATGACATTTTCATGATGACAAATATGATGGCCATTCGGATATCCTTTGTGAAGCATCTGTTCAATTTTGTCTGTTCTTTGGATCATTGGCCTTTTTCTTCTGATTTTCTCTTAGTTCTCTCTATTCTGGAGGCCCGTCCTTTTTGAAATAAGCATAGTAGGACTATCTTCACCCCCTCTGCATCCTGCCTTGTTGAAGTTCTCTCTCCAGCCTCTTGAAGTTATCTTTAGAGTCCGGTGTACCAATCTTTGCTTTTATGATTGCTGCATTTTGCATCCTACTTAAGAAATCTTTCCCCAAGTCACTAAAATATTCTCCTATGCTTCCTTCTGGAAGCTTTACGGTTGATCAGCTTGGATGAGGCTGCTGATGCTGGTGAGGATGGGAGGGTGGGTGGCCCAGGGCTCAGGGCCTCCCCTCCCTTTCTCCTCCAGCGCCCCCCACCTCTCTCCTCTCTCTCTCCCCTCCCTCTCCTTCATGGGCTTTGTATCTTCTGCTCATCCTTTAGGTGCTCCGTGCTCTGTCCTTCCTTCTCTATGACGGCCTGGCCACCTGCTCCCATGGCTCTGTCCTCTCTTCTTCCTGAGCTCCACATGCATATGGGCGTCCCTCTTAGGTGCTCTGCACACTCAGACTCCCGTGCCCAGAACTGATGCTTCTTGTGCTAGAAGGGGACCCGAGCATGACCAGTTTCCAAGCTCACATGCATCTTCAGGCACCACGGGCATGCCTGTGGAGAAGACCAACCACCATCAGTGGGCCAGACTGCTGCAGCAGGCTAACTCGGATCTCTGCTAGCCCTGCCGGTGGGAACTGTTATTTCCAGTTCAGTGTTGAAAGGAGGCTCCAAGAGCTTAGAAATGCATGCTTACTCTGCCTAGGCTGCCCCTCAGCCCTGGAGCTCCCACCGCCAGGTCCTGTGTTGGGACAGTCCCCAGCCAGCAGCACCTGCATGTCCAGGGCAGGGGCCCAGGCTGGAGCAGGCAGGCGGGGCGGTCACACATGTTCGGATGTCGGCCTTGGTCAGGTCCCCACCCAGTGGGGCCTTCCGGGGCACATGCTTTGTGCTCAAAGACCACACAGCCTTTCCCGTGCCCCTGTGGGCTGGCCTGGGACGGTACCCACCCCTGTGGGGTGCTCGGGGTCAGTCACAGGTGGCCATGAGCGTCACAACAGCTGTGAGTGGGGCCATCAAGGACAAGGGCCAGGGCCAAAACTAGACAGGGAGGTGGGCAGAGGAGGCCTGAAAGTGGCTCTTAGAAAAAGAATGGTAAACGGGCAGGGGCACCCCAGCAGTGGGAGCTGCAGGGGCAAAGGCCCTCAGGGAGGGACGGCACTGGGGCAAGCAGAGTAGCCTTGGGCGGTGGGGAGGCCGGGGCTGAGAGGTCACTGGCCACAGGCTCTTGTGGGAGGCCAAACTTTATTCTAACTGGAGTGAGAAGAGCTAACTGAAGTTTGAAACTATCCCCTGGCTGCTGTGTGACAGCTGGGGGGCCAAGAGGAAGCTGGTGCACTGCCTAGGAACTGTGGGAGGGAGGAGGGGGATCGGGGTCCCGGGTGTGGAGGTGCTCTGGTGACACAGGGTCTACACCACTGGAGGGGGAGGCCGGCCCTCAGACCCTCTGCTGCAGGCCGTGCCTCACCGCGCATCTCCCTGCAGGCCAAGCTCTGCCCTCCCTGTGCAGGAGGACCCGGACAGCGACGGGGAGGTCAGTGGCCCTGCTCCGGGGGGCCCGCCCAGCTGCCTGCCCGCCTGGCCCGGCTGCCGAGCCCCCACATGCACGGCTCTGGTTGCAGGAGCTGGCGCTGTACTTCACGGAGCCCCAGCAGCTCCTGGACGTCTTCACGGAGCTGGAGGAGCAGAACCTCTCACTGATCCAGAACACTCAGGAGATGGAGGAGGCCTTGGAGGAGCTGAGGTTCAACCTGAAAACCACCCAGATCCGCATGTAGGTCTCCTGCAGTGGCCCGGGGGGCGGGGGCGGGAGGGGGGGCAGGCAGGGGCTCTGTCCCTGGCTCCCATCCTGGGACCCCTACAGCCCTGGAACCCGGGATGGGCAGCCCTCCACCCTCCCCATCCACTTCCCTGGCCCTGCCCTGGCTTCAGTTTTCTGGAAAGCTCCATTTTCAGCCTTATAGGCCTGGCTCTGGGGAGAGGATGTGTCCTCTCAGGCAAGGGGGCGCTGAGTGGGAGTAGGTCAGGTGGGTGGAGCCACGCCGGCTGGTCCCCTCCCCACCCTGGAGCAGCCTGCAGCCAGAGGGGACATCTCCCAGGATCTTCTGCCCAGGTGCCTTCTCTGACACCACGCCCAGCAGAGCTGGGCTGGGCAGGGTCAGGCTGGGGCACTGGGTGAGGCCTGTCTAGAGCAAGGGCTCATCATTCATTCCCAAAAACTGACTGAACACCTATGCTGGGTCAGGCCTGGGCTTGGCCCTCCAGGAATAAGGCAAGGCCCTGCCTCATGGAGCTGACATTCAATGGGGGGAGACAAGCAACAGATTTGACTCATAGATGCTGACATGTGCTAGGAGGAAAATAAAGAGATTGACATGAGAAGGGGACTGAAGTGGAGGGTGGGTGCAGATGGGAGGAGGCAGGAAAGGCTTCCAGGGGAAGGTGTCATTTGAGCCAGGCACTTCCTGAGTGATGGGAAGCCACACACAACTGGGAGAAGAGAGTTCCAGGCACAGGGAAAGCAAGTGCAAAGTCCCTGTGGTTGTAGCCAGCCCAAGGCTTTGATGTCCCATGGCGAGCCATGTTCTTAGTACCCATGTCTTGTTGGCATATGTCCTGACATGGAGAGTCTTCTGTGGGAGTCTTCAGAATGATGTGAAACCACCAGCTCTCAGGCAAGATTATGTTTCCTAAAAAGCTGGAAGGGGGGGGGCCGGCCCCGTAGCCTAGTGGTTAAAGTCATGTGCTCCGCTTTGGTGGCCAGAGGAGCCAGCACGTGTGCATTTAACTCCCGTGAACTCACCCACCCTTCTCAGCAAACAATAATAATAAGACGCTTCAAAAAATATACAACAAATAAACAATCTGAATAGGCCTATATATTACAAAGATTCAATCAATCAATTAGTAACCTTCTGAAAAAGAAAGTGCCAGACTGAGATGGGTTTACTGGTGAATTCTACTAAACATTTGAGGAAGAAATTATCCCGCTCCTCTACAATCTGCTCCAGATGATAGAAAGAGAGGGAGTACTTCCTACTCATTTTATAGGACTAGCATTAACTGAGTGCCAAACCAAAGACATGATAAGAAGACCATAGACCAGTACGCTCATGAACATAGATGTAGAAATCCTCAACAAAATATTAGCAAATTGACTTCTACATTGTATAAAAAGAATTATACACCATGACCAAGTGGGACCTTTCTCAGGCATGCAAGGCTAGTTCAACATTTGAAAATGAGTTAAACCCATCACATCAACAAGCTAAAAAGGAAAATCACGTGATCATGTCAGGAAATGTAGAAAAAGCATTTGATAAAATCTAACACCTATTCGTAATAAAAACTGTCGACAAACTAGGAATAGAGAGGAACTTGATCAAAGACATCTACGAAAACGCTGCAGCTAACATGATATTCAAGCTGTCCTGCTAAGATGAGGAAACAAGGCGAAGGTGTCCTCTCACCACGCCTTTCATCATCCTGAGAATCCCAGCCAATGCAGAAAGACGAGAAAAGGAAATAAAAGATTCACAGATTGGGAAGGAAGAAATAAAACCATCTTTCTTCACAGATGACACAATCATCTCTGTAGAAAACCTGAAAAAGTCAACAAAAAACCTGGAACTAGGAAGCTATTATAGTGAGGTTAAAGATCACACAGTTAATATACAAAAGTTAGACACTCTCCTATATACGAGCGAAGAACGAGTGAATTCGAAATTGAAAACACAAAACTGGCCTACTTCAGAGAGATTGCAGACCACGGCAATAAAGCGAATCTTGCAACAAAGAAAGTGGAACAAATTTTTTGGTTTCCCAGTGCATATAAAAGTCGTATTTACACGAAAATGGAGTCTATTAAGTGTGCAATAGCATTATGTCTAAAAAAAACAATGTACACGCCTTAATTAAAAGATACTTTATTGCTAAAAAATGCTAACCATCCTCTGAGCCTTCAGCGAGTCATAATCTTTTTGCTGGTGGAGGGTCTTGCCTTGACGTTGATGGCTGCTGACTGAGCAGGGCGGTGGTTGCTGGAGTGGGGGGGTGGTTGTGGCAACCTCCTAAAGTAAGACGACAATGAAGTTTGCTGCACTGACTGACTCTTCCTTTCATGAACGATTTCTCTGCAGCGTGTGGTGCTGTTTGATGGCATCTTACCCACAGCAGAACTTCTTTCAAAGTTGGAGTCAGCCCTCTCAACCCTGCTGCCGCTTTATCGACTGAGTTTATGTAAATTCTAAATCCTTGTCCTTTCAGCAGTCTTCCCAGCGTCTTCCCCAGGAGCAGATTCCATCTCAAGAAACCCCTTTCTCTGCTCATCCACAAGGAGCAGCTCCTCATCCGTTAGAGTTTGACCATGAGATTGCAGCACTCAGTCCCATCTTCAGGCCCCACATCTAATTCCAGTTCTCTTGCTGTTTCCACCACATCTGCAGTGACTTCCTCCACTGACGTCTTGAGCCCTCAAAGTCGTCCATGAGGGCTGGAATCAACTTCCTCCAAACTCCCGTTCATGTTGATATTTTTGACCTCTCCCCATGAATCATGAATGTTCCTAATGGTGTCTAGAATGCTGAATGCTTTCCAGAAGGTTTTCAATTTACTTTGCCCAGATCCATCAGAGGAATCATTATCTATGGCAGCCACAGCCTTATAAAATGTATTTCTTAAATAATAAGACTTGAAAGTCGAAATTACTCCTTGATCCGTGGGCTGCAGAACGGATATTGTATGAGCAGGCATGAAAACAGTAATCTCACCGTGTATCTCCATCAGAGCTCTTGGGTGACCAAGCGAACTATCTACAAGCAGTAATATTTCAAAAAGAATCTTATTTTTCTGAGTAGCAGGTCTCAACAGTGGCCTTAAAATATTCAGTAAACCATGTTGTAAGGAGATGTGCTGCCATCCAGGCTTCGTTGTTCCATTTATAGAGCACAGGCAGAGTAGAGTTAGCATAATTCTGAAGGGCACGAGGATTTTCACAATGGTACATGAGCATTGGCTTCAACTTAAAGTCGCCAGCTGCATTAGCCCCCAACAAGAGAGTCAGCCTGTCCTTTGAAGCTTTGAAGCCAGGCAGTGACTCCTCTCTAGCTGTGAACGTCCTAGATGGCATCCTCTTCCAATATGAGGCTGTTGTGTCTCTATCGCACACGTGTTGTTCAGCGTAGCCACCTGCATTAATATCTTACTTAGATCTTCCGGGTAACTTGCTGCGGCGTCTACATCAGCACGTGCTGCTTCGCCTTTTGTGTTATGGGCACAGCTTCTCTCCTTAAACCTCGCGGACCTGCCTCCGCTGGCTGGTTCTTCAAACTTTCTTCTGCAGCTTCCTCCTCTCTCAGCCTTCAGAGATTGAAGACAGTCGGGGCCTGGCTCTGGGTTAGGCTTTGGCTTAAGGGAATGTTGTGGCTGGTTTGGTCTTCTGTCCAGACCACTCACACTTTCTCCGTTTCAGCAATAAGGCTGTCTTGCTTTCCTATCGTTCATGTGTTCACTGGAGCAGCACTTTTAATTTCCTTCCAGAACTTTTCCTTTGCATTCACAGCAGGCTGACTGTTTGGTGCAAGAGGCCCAGCTTTCAGCCCATCCCAGCTTTCGACATGCCTTCCTCATGAAGCTCAGTCACTTCTAGGTTTCAATTTAAGGTGAGAGACGTGCCACTCTTCCTTTCACTTGAACACTCAGAGGCCATTGTAGGGCTGTTAATTGGCTTATTTCAATATTGTTGTGTCTCAAGAAATAGGGAGCCCCAAGGAGAAGGAGAGAGAAGGGAAAAGGCTGGTCAGTGGAGCCGTCAGAACACACACAACGGTTATCAATTAAGTTCGCCGTCTTATATGAGCGTGGTTGGTGGTGCCCCAGACAATACAATAGAAACATCAAAGATCACTGATCGCAAATCACCATAACAAATATAATAAGAATGAAACAGTCTGAAATATCGCGAGAATTAGCAAAATGTGACACAGATACAAAGTGAGCAAATGCTGTTGGAAAAATGGCTCTAACACACCTGCTCAACACAGGGTTGCCACAAACCTTCAATTTGTAAAAAATGCACTATCTTCAAAGTTCAATAAGGTGAGGTATGTCCATACCATTTACATTAGCACCCCCAAAAATGAAATGCTTAGGTATAAATCTAACAAAATATGTACTAGATCTATATGAGGAAACTATAAAATTGTGATGAATGAAATCAAATAAGAACTAAATAAATGGAGAGATATTCCATGTTCATGGACAGGAAGACTCAGTATTGTCAAGATATCAGTTCTTCCCAACTTGATATATGGATTCAATGCAATCCCAATCAAAATCCAAGCAAGTTATTTGTGGATATTGACAAATAGATTTTAAAGTTTATATTGAGTCAAAAGACCCAGAATAGCTAACAAAATATTGAAGCAGAAGAACAAAGCCCAAAGACTGACACTACCCGACTTCAAGACTTCCTATAAAGCTACAGTCATAAATACAGTGTGGTGTTAGCCAAAGAACAGACTAGAGAGCTCCAAAACAGACCCCCATAAATACAGTCAACTGAGCTTTGACAAAGGAGCACAGGCAATAGAATGAAGCAAAGACAGTCTTTTCAATACATGGAGCTGGAACAACTGGACATCCACATGCAAAAAGAAAAAAAAAGGGGCAGCCCTGGCAGCCTAGTGGTTAAGTTCAGTATGCTCCGCTACAGCAGCCTGGGTTTGGTTCCTGGGTTTGGTTCTACACCACTCATCTGTTAGTGGCCATACCATG